GAGAGCCCTTAGTAACTTCCCTCGGTGGGGCAACAGTGGGAAAAAAGCAGGTGCCCACAGGGCTGACACCTGCGACCAGGCTCAGAGGGGAGGAGAAGCCTTCCAGGCTCGGGCGAGGGGAGTGCGACCAGCGCGACGTGCAAGGTGAGGAGCTGGGCACACCTTCCCACCCAGCCAGCACCCTGGGAAAAAGCAAGATGTCGGTACGCGTCTTGCAAAAAAGCCACTCCGGGAGTCTCAGGGAAACCACTTCTCCTTTTTAATCTGCCCTCCAGCACACTGCAGCCCCCACCGGCTGCTGCACGCGAGGAGGGGGTTGTCGTGCAAGCAATCTGCCCAGCTTCCTCACAGCACCGCCGCCTCTTCTTCCTCCCCCTCGCTGGAGGGGGTCACAGAAACACTCTCCCTGATTTCACCAGGCTGCAGGACTGGCTGGCTGGTGGTGGCCGTTTAATTTTATTTATTTCTCTCTTGACTGTTAAAGCTGAGGAACAGCTGGTGCAAGGTTGAGCTGTAAATCCTTTCTTTGCAAGGGGGGCGGGAGGAGAAGGTCCAGAGGATTGTGTGTTTTCGTCCTCTTCCTACTTGTTCTTTTCTCCTGACCCCCCAGGCCTTTCCACAGGCTGAGTATCCACTTGGTGATCAGGAATTGACAGGAATTTCATTAAATCTTCTCTGTGGCAACCATTTCCAAGCAGCACAGGGTAGGTTAACGGAGAGATCTGGAGGAGAGTTTTCAGGGAGTGCTGTTACAACCCCAGAAGACAACTGATGGTGAAAACGGTGCTGAACAGGTCTGTCTCACCCATGGCCCGAGCAATGTGGGGGAAGATCTCAGCTTGTTCCAAACAGCTCCATTTTTTCCTCCCCTTCCTTCAGTAAAATTCCTCTTCGTTAATCCATTTGTCTTTTAAAAAACCCTACATAAAATCATTAAAACTCGACATCTGGTACGCCACACCTCACCTGTAAAGAAAAAACAATTAAATTAACAAGGCAAGAGAAGAGACAGAGTCGCATAAAAATATCCACTAAAGTAACAGCGAGCTCCCCAGGACACTGAGCAGGTGTTGAGTGGCAGAGGGAGACAGCGCCTGGTGGATTTCAAACCCTGTTGGCAAGTCCCAGTCAGCAAGATGCCACTCTCCAAGCCCAGCTCCGACACAGATGGACGCCGCAGCCCCAGGCCTATCACCTAACATCAGCGTCCCTTCCCCCATCTGCGAACCGCAGTTAGGACCACGCTGTGGAGGCTGCGGTTAGCCAAGGGCGACCAGCTGCAGACTACCGTCCCACCCCCAGGCCCCACCCCCTT